TACTTACATATTTTTTGTCACAAAAATAAACATCATTGAAGTCACAGTCAAAATGACTTTTTGAACGTCATCTTTTTTAAGTAAACTACACATTTCACAATTCATTATGAAAACTTACTTTCTTTTCGTCATATTTGCACATTTTTCTAAAAGACATGCTCTTCTTTTCCTTTTGGAACATCTTTCTTTCTTTTTTCCCATTTTTAACCGACTTCTTATTCAATAAAACCGCTAAATTTGATCACGCAATCGCCGATGCAGTCCGGAAGCCGACTAGCACAGATCCGTCGCTGACAATGGTCAAGGGGGGACTGAGCGTGTCAGCGGGGCGAGGTTTGCATATGCGCGATAGCTTATAACAAAACGACGTAAACGACAAAATGCTTTTTGTTATTTTATTTAGTCGGAAATGATAACTTGAGAAATTCCTTCTACAATTTTAAGGAGTATTTATAGACTTGTCTACAGAGCAAGTTGAGAGGCTAAAATCGGTCCCGTTTGCCAATAAAATGTGAATATCTATTTAAAAAGAGGTATGTTTGATATTTTTTTCTCTGTTACAAAAGTTACTTAATCATGTAATGAAAACTAACAAAATAAGGTTTTCATCATGAACTGTTCAGGTCACCAACTCATATTTTTATTCGTTTCGTAATTACTTAGAAAAATAGAGATCACTGATGCCAAAATTTCCAATTCGTCCTCTTAAAACAACAAATTGTGTTATCTTGATAAAATAATTATGTGTAGCCTTGAGCGAAATTATTATCTTGCATTGGGGATTATTATTATTTTTCGTATGTTTATAGCTTGATAGCGAGTTTTTCTTTCTGCGAAATTATGATGCACTCACTTTAAATATTATAAATAGTAGCTAAGGGCCTTATTAAAATAGCCTCTCGTATTAGGAAGTGCGCCGAGAACTCGTCGCGCGTCAAAAACGTCGTGGACGTACAACGAACACGCTGCGACTGCGCAGCGAATTCTTAGCACACAAGTCAAAGATTTTTTTATGTATAGGTAGGCAAACGACGGCGGACGGATTGCCTGATGGTAAGCAATATGCCGCCCATGGACAACCGCAACATCTAAGGAGTTACAGAAGCGTTGCTGGCTTTTTGGGCACTCGTAACTCCTCTGTTGTTGGCGTGTTTCCATGGGCGGCGTTAATTACCTACCATCCAGCTCGTTTGCCAATATATCACATAAAAAAAATTAAGGTAGGTGAGAATCAGATTCAAAATTCAAAACCTTACTCAATGGTTCATTTGGTCAAGACTAATGATAAATCTATTTTGCTTTGTGATTTTACCTAACTGTGGAAGGGTATTACTTTTATACGTCAGAGGCAGAGCTATAATAAAATGTACAATACAGTCAGCTGAATTCTTCGGATCGCGTGACGGATACTCGTTCGTCTTTGAACCGATGTCTCCAATCGACTCGCTTTCAATATTGCCTAGCTACGGTGTCCTTGGATTTTAGATCATTGCATAGATACGTAGTAAAGTAGAATGTTGTATTTTTTAAATAAGCTATTTTTATTTGCGGTCGAGCCAGCCCAGTTATGTTCTACCAACTTAACTAAGTGATATACACTATTTGGCTTATTCTCTACCGTACTTTCCTAAGTAAATCAAGCTTCTATAGTAAATCGCCTTGCCCTAGGCGAGAAAAGTCATTTAATGATTTTCTTACCAACAAATAAAGCTTAATATTGCATACATTTTTAGGTGGGGAGCCAAGCTTCGGCACGAGTGGGTCGATTCGACCGGTGTGATACTACGGCTTCACAGAAAATCGGCATGAAACATCCACAGCGTTGTGTTTCGCCGTGTAGTAAAGGAGGCCCTATCCCCCATCCTAATTCCCAAAATCTCCAAAACCCTAATCCCCAAAAGGTCGGCTGACATCCGATGTTGCGAGTGTCCATGGGCGGCGCTGATTGCTTACCATCAGGTAATCCGTCTGGACGATTGCCGTCCTAACACATTACAACAAAAATAACATATACAGCAACAGATTACACGAAGCGTAGCAGAATCTTTCACACATTGCGTGCGTAATATTTGCAACGTCCTTAGTTTGATTTCTATGCGCGCCGATCAATGGCATGTAGGTCGTTCGGTGTTCACCTAACTATTGTTGTTTTAAACATCTAATAGGTATGACGATCCTTCGCGTGTTCTTATTAACAACTCTTTTGGCATTCAGTCGTTTATATTTTATTTTATTTTTAACTAGCTACTCGCCCCGTCTTCGCACATGTGCTATCCTGATAATGAAGGAGATTAGGCATTCTTGGTTTCGCTTTTTGAAGCTGATGGTCACTTAAGCAAATCTATAATTAATGTTCTTTCAATTCACGGGACCACAGGACTCCGGACCTTCGGAAAGCGTACGAGGAGCCGAAGCTAACTCGCAGAGGCCCGTTGAACTTTAATATACATTCAGTCAACAAAGTATCGGGAATGAATGTTTTTTTTATGGTTCCACAAAAAAAATTAAAATTCGAATTTTAATTTTTTTTGTTGTTGTTAGATTGGCCTAACTGTTTTCCATTTTGGCGCGGAATTCGAGTTGCATCTGTTATTTATATTAAAAACAGTGCTGTTTTAGTTTTATAATATCTAGTGTGTATTGCGAATTCCATAATGGACAAAAACATCGAACAAAGAGTTTGTCTTAAATTTTGCATCGCCAATGAAATTTCGTATGTCACTCAAAATGTTACAGAAGGCTTACGGTGAATCGACTTTATCAAAAACACGTGCTTATGAGTGGTACAAAGCGTTCAAAAGCGGTCGAGATGTGATGGAAGATTTGCCTCGTTCTGGTAGGCCATCAACGTCTGCAACTGAAGTTAATATCGCAAAAGTGAAGGAAATAGTGACTGAAAATCCTCATTCAAGTTTGAGAGAGATGGCCGCTGAACTTTCTGTATCTCACGAGCCGATCCGTACCATTTTAACAAATAATTTGGGTATGAAACGTGTTGCCGCTCGGCTAGTCCCAAAAGACCTGAATTTTCTTCAAAAACTAAATCGCATGAAAGTCGCTGAGGACATGCTAGAACGAGTCAATACCGACCCAACATTCATGAAACGCATTGTTACTGGTGACGAGACGTGGGTTTACGAGTTTGACATGCAAACTAGTCAACAAGCTTCGGAATGGCGCCTTCCAACTGAAAGAAAATTCTTGGATTTTGTGTCCAAACACTCAACAAACACCATCGAGCAGCCACCATATTCACCAGATATGGCTCCAGCCGACTTCTTTCTTTTTCCCACACTCAAATTACCCCTTCGTGGCACCCGTTTTCAATCGTTAGAAGACATAAAGGAGAATTCGCGGCGAGCACTGAACTCAATTCCGGAAACAGCGTTTAAAAAAAGTTTCGATGATTGGATTATTCGTTGGCGTAAGTGTATCGTTTCTGAAGGAGCATACTTTGAAGGTGATAAAATAAATTTAGATGAATAACAAACATTTTGTGTAGTATTGACTTTTTCCCGGTACTTTCTTGACAGAGTAGTAAGTGAAATAAGACATCAGCCGGCAATTATCCCAGTATGCACTATGAAAGTGCACCCAAGGATAATCCCCGGTTGAAGCAGGACTATTGCGAAATGTGGTAATAATTGTAAGGATTGCTATGGACTGGTGGAATATGTTAACTACGGAAATATTATGACCCCTTCCCCTAAGCAATATTAATACATACGGATAAACAGGCAGGGGGTGACTGGGGAAGGAGAGGCATTCCACGGCTAGAGTAATCCCGGAAGGATGGTCAAGACCCCTACCAGCATCTTACTAAGATACATCCTACCCCCGAGTCTCTTACAACTCCTACTCTTGCAAATCTCGTAGGAGAGCTTGTTCTTCATCAGTGTTCACTCCAGCTCGTCACGAGAACTAACTGGAGATGAAGAACAAGACACCTCCCGGGAGTCAGGTCCGTGGGGTCGCTACTGCCCAACAGCTCGCCTAAGCTGCCTTGCGGATATATTATCATTATTAATTTGTTTAAGCGTAAATTCTCCGCGAATACAGAATAAAATAATAATAACTGCATAAATTTTTTTCTAAAAAAAAACAGCGAATCCGTAATTTAAACAAAAACACCAATATTTTAAACCATTTCAAATCTATCTATAGATTTTCTTTTCCGGAGATTACGATAACTTAGAGAAAGATGAATCGAATACCTCTTAGCATTAGCGACAACAAAAAACTAATCATTTAGTTACGGCACTCGCGTAATTAATTAACTAGCTAATGAAGTTTGATGAACGGTAAGCACCATAAAACTAACGGAAAAGGACACGCGGGGTCAATAATCAAGCGCGATAAGGTACCGCGGGCTCGGCCTGGAGCATTAGATGGAGAGAAGAAGAGAAAGGTCATTTGGTCATTTTCCCCTCCTAAAAAAGGGGTAAATTATTATTTACCCCTTGTACTTTCTTGTATCTATTCACTTCTCCTATATCTATTAACTCCTCTAATTTTATTCTCCCTGCTTTCTTACCGCGACATCGACCGCGTGCTCTAAACTATAACAAATTACCACGAAACGTGTAGGACTTTGGCCTACACGTTTAAAGTCTAGCCTGGTCAAGAATCCGATAGGAACCAGTAACATTTGTGTTTATCTCGTTTCAGACCAATGTGAAAAGAGACTTTATTTTGGTAATATGTAAGGAAAATTGTCATCAGCTCACAAGTCGGATTGGCGACTTCAAACATATAATTTGAATTTACTGAAAAAAACGACTTAGTGACGTAAATAAACTGAGAAAAGCTCTAATCATAAGTCAGTACGGGATCCTTACTCACTCATTCCGGTTCATTCAATTAAGTCGTTATTAAAAAAAATAGCATGTCTAACGATAGTAACTATATAAAAATATAATTTTAAGTTAAAAGTCAAGGTTCCCTAACAACGTTTAGATAAGAAAAGGAATATCGATGAAATGTATACATTGTAGACGCACCTGTTAAGGCTGATGAGCTGAGACTTGAGCAGCTTGAAGACGATCCTGGCGTCCTCTTCCATGATGAGGCCGGCCTTCGCCATCTCGTTGGCAACTTCCTCACAGTCATCGTTCTCGATGTCGAACTCAAACTGGATCGCTTCGTTCTCCTTGTGAGTGTAAGACCTACACCAATGAGGTTAATAACATTAAGATCACTATTATCATCGACAGCCTATAAGTACGCATTTCTAGGGCTCTTTTCCCATATTAGAGTATATGGTAATTATTTATTCATCATTAATCGCCATGCTTGCTTAAGAGGCATACGCGATTCCAAACTCAAAATTAGAGATTATTATTTAGATATTTTAATCCCAGGTTTCGTCACCCATTTGTCCATTTCTAAAACGTAATATGTCAGTTACACAAAAATAACATAAAATATGGCAAAACTCATATTGGTTCTTGCCAGGTTTCGAACCTTCGCAATATTATTAAACGATTTCCTGGTTATTTTAATACTGGTTAAACATTAATTTCCAAAATTAATCCTAGACTCAATGAAGAACACACTGACAGACTATTATTCTATTTTGAACTTTCGAAAGAACCTGCTAATGGTTTAGTTGGAATAAATGATTTTGACTTTTGAATAAAAATAGGAACCATTACAGGGTCAGGTTGCCAATTTTTTTATGTAATAGACAAGCAGACCACCAGGTAGTAAGTGATCTGCAGGGTCCATGGACTCCTGCAGCACCAGAGGGGCCACAGGCGCGTTGCCGACCTTTTACGGAGTACGCTCATAACATCATAACATTAACAAGTAGCATAGCTAAGCTAGATTTTTTTTAAGTGTGGGAGAGCCATGCTTCGGCACGAATGGGTCGGCTCGACCGGAGTGATACCACGGCCTCACAGAAAACCGGCGTGAAATAACCACAGCGTTGTGTTTCGCCGTGTGAGTGAGGTTACCGGAGGCCCAATCCTTCCCCTCCCCCAATCCCTCCTAAATCCTAAATCTCCAAATCCCTAATCCCTAAAAGGTCGGCAACGCACTCGTAACTCCTCAGTTGCGAGTGTTCATGGGCGGCGCTGATTGCTTAACATCAGGTAATCCGTCTGCTCGTTTGCCGACCTATTAAATAAAATAAAAAAAAAATAAATAAAAAAAAATTAAAATAGTAACGGTGGAATTTTTTTTCTCGTTCTTTTCCATTCGAATCTACAATTCGGAGCGAGCACCTAGCTTCACTGACAAACAGACTGACAGACTAATATCCTATTTTGACGTTACAAAAGTATCTAATTATGGTTTAGTTGGAATAAATGATTTTGACTTTGACTTTGCATTAACACGTGTTATATTATGCTCACCGTTTTTTAGGATCGATGATCTTCAATCGGAACTGTATTTTAGTGATATCTGACGAGGTGACCAGGTCTCTGCCGACGATTTCCAGCCGCAGGCCAATGTCCTCGCCGAAGAACTCGTGGTTCAACAAATCCTTCACTTTTGGCCTATTGTAGAGAAAAACAAGATTAGTATTTAAAAATTATGGCGAACGATATAATCGTCCTTAAAGTTAGAGTCATAATATTCAATATTGTTTGTTCACTTATAGTTTAATAAGAGACTGCTTGTGACTTGACACTGGTAGACCTCTTCTGGGTTAATTCAATTAATATTGTTATTATTATATCTCACTATAGTTACTTTTCAAAAATGTATAAAGTAACTAGCTTACGCTTGCGCTTCGCCCGCGTGGTATGTTGATTAAAAGTAGCCTATGTCCTGTTTCGGCGTGTTTGAGTAACAAACATCCAAGCATCGTAACTTTCGCATTTATAATATCAGTAAGATTACCCACGAGGTCAACCTCGTGGCCCTTCTACGGTTGAGCCGACCAACGCGTGACGATGTTTCTATAAATCTCCGATGAAATAGCTGAGCCGATGCCCAGATGAAGACGTTATATAATCAAACCAATGAGGGTCAGGGAAGTAGTATCTTCATTACACACAGTACATACCTATCAGTTTTATTGGGCTTGATACAGGATTCGATGATATCCCGGACCTCAGGGATGGTGACCTTCTCCAAACTTTGCGGCTTTACTCCCTGCGAACATTAGAATACATTAATTTCTGTTAATTTTATGTTATAGAGGGTCATAAGAGTATACGGACCTGATGGTAAGCAAACACATCAGTTCTCACTTTCTACTATTCACACTAATTAATACGCCAGCGGAGTAGGTATTTTTTTTAACCTTGCCCCAACAGGACAGTTTCACAATTAAAACTCCTAAACATAAGGTTATAACCCTGGGTTGTCTTCAACATCGGAGCGAATAGGTTGTTTATAAGTAGGCGAGTTCTAGTAGGTTACATCATCGCTTACGACCAGGCGAGAAAGCTGCCAAATATACAGGCCAAATAAAAAAAAATTAACCATGCTCATTAGCTATAAAGTGTCATAAATGTTACATAATAAATAACAATAGAACGTACCGACACGACTTTCTTATATATCTGCGCTGGCCCCGAGCACTCGCTGTAGGGATACTCCCCGGTGGCCATCTCCAGCATACACATACCGAAGGCGTACACATCCACAGACTCGTCGTAGTGCTCCTCGTACATCTCTGGCGCCATGAACTCCGGAGTACCTGCCCAACATTTCAATCAAGGCTTTTAATAGGTATACTCGGTACTATAAATCTACTAGCTTCCGCCCGCGGCTTCGACCGCATGGTATGTTGATAAAAAGTAGCTTATGTCCTATTCCGGTGTGTATCCTATGCCTGTGCCAAATTTCATCCAGATCCATGCAGCCGTTTTGGCGTGATTGAGTTTAGAAACATCAAAATATCGTCACTTTCGCATTTATAATATTAGTGAGATAAGATATAGATTTAAGTGTGGGAGAGCTATTTTCGGCACGAATGGGCCGGCTCAAGCGGAGTGGTACCACGGCATCACAGAAAACCGGCGTGAAGCAACACTTACTTCTGTTTACAGGGACGTTTCCCAAATACCAGATAGCGTCGACTCCAAAAAAAAAATCTAATTATAAAGTTGATCAAAATGAAGCCAGAACATAGTGAAAAAATCGTTTGTGTACACTTCTAGATTACAATGGTAAGGTTGTCGGGAAGAGAATGCCATAATTATGTAGAATTATGTCTATCAAGTTTGCATTAAAGTGTAAATAAATAATAAAAAAGGGTTGTACCTATAACGGACTTAGCGAAACTCCTGTTCTTGAGTGTGGCCAGTCCCAGATCTCCAATCTTGACGCTGCCAGTTGTACCCGTTATAAAAATGTTGTCGCACTTCAGATCTCTGGAACAAGTAGTCAATATATATTTTTACGTAAAGTTCAGTATCGTCAAACCCAGCAAACGGTTTACATTTCAATTGTGTGTTTTTGTATAGTCTTGTATTGTCTGTTTCGGTAGTTTTTCTGAGAGTATTCAGATGGGAAACGCAGGCCTCATGTTGATTTTTTTCAACACAAACAGTTACTTTCTTTCATATACTATAAAAACAATCATCTACCTACTTTTGATTACTTAAGTGTGGGAGAGCCATGCTTCGGCACGAATGGGTCGGCTCGACCGGAGTGATACCACGGCCTCACAGAAAACCGGCGTGAAGCAACCACAGCGTTGTGTTTCGTGTGAGTGAGGTTACCAGAGGCCCAATCCTTCCCCTCCCCCGATCCTTCCCCAATCCCAAAATCTCCAAATCCCTAAAAGGTCGGCAACGCACTCGTAACTCCTACATTGCGGGTGTCCATGGGCGGCGCTGATTGCTTACCATGATCCGTCTGCTCGTTTGCCGAGTTATTACATAAAATAAAATAAATATTTAACAATGTAAACAATTTTTACCAACTGTCGCCTGAAATACAAGATTTCCTAGTTCATGCACCTAATCTCCTGAATTATTTTTATAAAATTTTATTTTACTCAATGTTGGAGAGTAAAAACGCTGTTTGATGGCCTTTTAAAAGTACGGTTATTTCATTGTTTCCATTGTATGCAAATACGAAATGATGGCAATGGATAAAAATATCAACAAACCTGTGTATAATAGGCGGAGTTCTCGAATGTAGAAAGTTTAATCCTTTTAGAATCTGACGACACCACGACTTCAGCACTTTCGGGTTTATTCGCTTGAACCGTCGGAGGTACCTGCAATCAACCACAAAATATAATCATTAATAATGATGATGATGGATGATGTATGTCGATACGTATGTATTCCGTATAAGTGTCGTGGTGGCCCAGAGCTTAAGGCACTCGCTTCCTGTGCATTAGGGTGCGAGAAACTTGGAAAGTATCAATGTTGAGTCAAGATTGCAACTAGTTAAGCATCCTTTCTTTTAGTCTTAAGGCCTTGATGGGATACCTAAAAGGTTTACATAAAACTCTGAATAGTACTCACGCCTTAAGAGTCCCGCTAAGCATGAGTTCAGTGATGAGCACGATGTTCTTCTTTTTAGCGACAGTACCCTCCCAATAGTTGTAAAACCGCACAATGTTTGGGTGCTGCAGCTTCTTCAGCATGTCGGCTTCCTCGCGGAACCGAAGGCGTTCGGTTTTGTTCAGCTTTTTCTCCTGGAATAATAAAATTCAATACTTATTTATAGAAACTAGTACTAAGCAGTATCTATCACATATAAAGTAATACATTATCACTATTAAATTCATTGGCTGATTTTACCCATTTTATTTTTAATAAACAGCGATATAAATTGATAAGGAGACATTAATCAAGTACTTTGACAGTAACTAACAAAGTATTAGAGAGCCGAGATTCGGCACTAATGGATCGGCTCGACCGGATTGTTACCAAGGCCTCACAGAAAACTGGCGTGAAACAGACAAAGCAGCGTGGTGTTTTAACGCGTGAGTCAGGTTACCGGAGATCCAATCCCTTCCAAATACTTAAATATCCAAAACCTTTATACAAAAAAGGCACCACACTAGAAACATCTATGGTGTTCCGGGCGTAAGGTAATGTCTGATTGTTTGCAGAACTATCTCATAAAAAAAACTAACCAAGAGCTCGCACCACGCGACGGCGACTCCAGTCTGTGTGTCGAGTCCGTGGTACACCGTCTTGAAGGAACCGCGACCCACCTCCTTGTCGTACTTGAAAAACCTGAACATTTATAAATCAATCTTTACTTATATTTAATTATAAACATGATAATTTGTTTGGTAACAAGCGCTCGTCTGCCAAACCATATTATATGTTCAATATCTTTTTTAAATCGTATCCCCTCTCTGGAATTAACTCCTGTGTCACGCAGGTGAGCATTCTCGAACCACACAGACCCGATAATTCAGTAATTTAAAAAAAATAAGTATATACTTTTTGACGTATAAATATTATGCGTCGTATGCAATCGCAGCATCCGATATCGTTTAAGACGTTTCAATGAAAGAATTGACTTGTTGGAAACTATCTGGATTATCTGGAACAAAAGAAAATATCGAACCTGCCACAAGGCGAGACTCCGATGGGTTCCTCTTCATCTTCCTTATCCTCCTTGTCTTGCTTGTCCTTCTGCTCCAACTTCTCAAGCTCATAAATAGGACCGTACACTAAACCTGAAAACATACATATAAAAACTATTAAAATAAAATATAACCACTTCTTTTAAAGCTAGAATAGTAAAGCCTATTTGCATATTTACAATGTAACACCAAATTATCATCAGTCATAAACAAATACTTAATTTAAGACTCCTTGGTATTTTTTGTTTTTTATGAAATGCGTGGTGTGTTTCCAAACCCGCACATCGCACTTAGACATGTATGTTTCGCTCGGGTGTAACTAGCTACCATATTAAGTAATTACTTTTTGTCGCCGAAGCCGTTTTCTTGACAACAAAAATAGATTCATCATCATCATTATCACCATCAGCCCATAAGTGCCAATTGCTGAGCAAAGGCCTCTTCTCTCACGGAGTAGGTTACAATAAATTACTATGGTTTCTCAAGGTGGATTGGTGATTGCATACTTATAATTAGAAATTCAAGTTCCAGGTTCCCCACGATGTTTACCTTCACCGTATGTCAGTGGTGTCTAAATAATCATAGAAAGTACATGTAACTCGGCAAAAGTCACATTGGTACTTGCCAGGTTTCGAACCACCGGCCCACCACGATGTTCGACGAATGGATTCCTTTTTAATTAATTAAATAAACAGTACCATTCTGTGGTTCCTGTGGTTGATCTTCCCCAGATGCATCAGTCTTTGATATTCGTTTTTCCGTTGCGGTTGCTATTTCGATATTTTCTTCCTGTAAAACAATTATATACCAAATCACCAAAAAATAAATTATGAAAGAGTATAGACACACTAGTTATCTGTTGATTGTCGAATTGATCAGATGTTACGATTTAGTATAATTGTTGTCTGTACTAAAACATTTTTATCTTTAATTTTCAATTACAGATAGAATAAGTTTTTGACAAAAAAATAAAATTGTTAGTTAGTTGTGCACGGGAACTCTCTTCAATTCATTGTGACGTCCCATTTTTTGCATCAAATAATATTGTTTAGTTATCCAGAAAAATGCTAAGGATAAAACAAATAATTCATACAATCATCGGCACGGATCTTGAGCGCTGACCTTCACCTGCGCAGAAGTGATTTATTGGGTCCCTTTAGTGGTACGAAGTGAGGCGCGGGGGTCGCAGGGGCGGGGTAAAGTGCAGTGATTGGCCCGCAGCGCAACGCGTCATAGCCGTCACTCAGGATTGGTTTTATGCTGTAGTTGCACGTACCTCACGACGCGAGTACACTTCCAGCCAATTTAATTGACACCAATTTTTAAACTGCATCGTTTTAGTTATTATATTTTTTTAAGAAAAAATGTTTTTCATTTCATTAATGTATAAATTAAATACGAGATCAAAAATGTTAACAAAAAAAGTACATAGGTACGTAGTAGTTTTTTTTTGTAACTTCTGACAAACTACAAGTTTAACTTATATTTTAAATAAGAAACACTTTTGATTAACTACTTCCATCTGAATTTCCATTTCTCAATTTATTAAATCATTATAAAATGTTTCTTTTAACCATAGAGCCAGTATGAAATTACGTAGGTAACTTAGGAAAAAATAAATAATAAACGGGTGTGCGTTTTATTTTGTCATAAGTGTACGATGCGCAAAGCGATCCCCACTCTTCCGCCGAGCGCTCAAGATCCGTGCCGGTATCAATGAAACAATGAATTTATTTTTGCAAAAAGGCCATAAAACGGCACTTTTACACATCAAATTATATGTGAAAACTAGATGAAGCCTGTAATGATACTTATTAGGGCTGATTTTTCAATGCTTTAAAGTTATCTGGATATTAATTATGATGTTGTAATGTCACAATATTTGTAAAAGATAGTGATAGCAACAATTTTAATCCTCAGATATATATATTTATCTGACTATTGAAAAATCACCCCTAATGTACTTATTTTAAGATAGAATAGATTTATGAGTGAAAACGATTTTATTTTTTTGACCGTTATCTTCCCTATGGAATCCATAGGGATTCTCGGTCTCGATCCACACTATGGATGACTTCCTCAGCGCGACTATTAAATTTTATCTCCCAAGCAAACGATTTCATTTAAGAGATTTTTTTGAGTCAAGTCCAATCTAGCCAAAACCATTTCTTCCAACTAAACCATAAGTAGGTACTTTTTAGTAGATTTTCAATCTGTTCGTTAGTGAAGCTAGGTGCTCTCAATATGGTGATATTACTCTTTTTTCACTTACCAGATCCTGCTCGGAGATGAAGGCGTCGTCCTCAAGCCTCGCGACAAGCTTATTCCCGCTATCGTCAAGTTCGGGGTCGCAGAGGGTTCCCTGGCCAGAACTCCGCCGGTGAAAACCCCCCACCCCTACCCCGACTCCGACAACGGGCTGACTAGCCTGGAACATGAAAAAAACAAGATTATTTAAAGTTGCGTTCATTGATGTTGCAGAGTTTCATACTCCATAAAATGTTCATTTCATTTATTCTAATCGCCTATGTAATGTTTATATTTTTTGGGATTTTTAAGGTAGATACTAGCCAACGATGTTAATACGAATTCTGTTTTATTTTATAAATTGATTTTTTTGATGTCATAATATGTCGGCAAACGAGCATACGGATTACCTGATGGTAAACAATCAGCGCAGCCCATGGACACCCGCAACGGAGGAATTTTTAGGGATTAGGGTTTTGGACATTTAGGGATCAGGGGAGGGGAAGGATTGGGCCTCCGCTAACCTCACTGACACGGCGAAACAAATCGCTTTAATTCGAGCGAGCCGACCCATTCGTGCTGTAGCATGGCTCTTCCACATTTTAAATTATACGCTATTATCAACCGTTTTGATTTTTTCCAATCTTAGAATTGAAAAAAAAAATGTCTTAAAAATGAAGAACAAACTGTGCATGTGGTGTTGTTAGTGAATCCTCTGAATCATAAACCACTCCCACTTTCTACAGCTCAGCAGTTTTACAATCTGTAATTTATTGCCTAATTTATTGACCTACATCTGTAGTTTTGTGACTAATAAATGTGTCATTTACGTTAGTTACGCGGTGCATTAATGAATCCTCTTTTTGAAGGATGACAATTATCAAATGTCTTCTTCCGCCCTGGCTATAGTAAGAGGGAGTTTTAAATACTTACTGAGCTAAAATCGCATCTCCCAGAGGAGGAAGAGAAGAGAAGAGAAGTATAAGAGGGATGGAGCTATAGAAGGTGTATAGCTCCATCCCTCTTTCTCGCCCGGAAGATTGACGCTTTAACACGTCATGCTACTGATCCTTCTCGGCCGGGGCCGCGGGACATTACTAGTATGCCCCCGAAACCTCGTCAGTATCCTATGCCTTAGTGCGTAATCAGGATGACGTTGGGGTAAAAACCAAAAATGTAATTATCCCGTCATTAGTTTTATAATGACAAAATATTGAACACGAATTTTCTAGCGTTTCGTACCTATAAGAAAACAATCTTTACTAATATACGACTATATAATAAAACTAAAGAGTTTATTTGTTTGTTTGAACGCTATAATCTGCAAAACTACTGGTTCGAATTCAACTTATTACTTAAACAACACGTAGTTTCCTACTTACGAACAGCCACGTGTAGCAATAACAAAACAGCTAAAAAAGATTACAACAATGTCACCCGGACGACTGAAGACATGTTGGGATATAAACCAAAAGTCAAAAGTAAAAATCATTTATTCCAATTAGACCTTTACAGGCACTTTGAACGTCAAACAAAATTTTGAAAATTTAGTGTCAATCTGTCGGTCAGTCCTCTTAGTGAAGCTATTTGCTCGTTCCAAAGTGTAGATTACGATGGACGAGCAAGAAACTCCATGGTTACTCTTTTTAAATCAGTTTCACATACAGATTCCTTTTACAAACAGTTGGTTCAATTATGTGAGAACAGTGTAACACTAATACATTCATTCACCAATTTATACATTCTAATCAACTTCTCTTGACACTATTATGATAAACCCTTTGTCTATTTTTAGACACTGAATGTATAGAAATACAAGCGAAAAATCACGTACGTAGTCACGAAGTAGATTTAAATAATATTGAAGTAGCGTCCATGATGCTCGCTTATCATGGATGTTCCATTGAAGGGTCCATAATGCTCGCCTATGGTCTATCGGTTTAATTAATTAACAAAATGCAAAACAATCTTGGCATGTCTTTTTATCTAAAAGTTGTCTATAAATTGTATATAAAAATGTTTATATAAAAAGGTATTTACCTAAATCGATGTTAGCTAATACCTGTGACTGAAAAGTTGAAAGGGAACCGTTTGTCTTGGTATGGCCATGTGAAAAGGAGGGATGAAAAGCATGTTACAAAAAAAGTCATGAGTATAAATGTGGATGGATGGAGAGGCAGGGGGAGACCAAAGAAAATATGGATGGATTGTGTGAGAAGTGATATGGAAGACAGAGGAGTTAGCGATAGCGTGACGAGTGACAGGACAGAATGGAAGAAAAAAACATATTGCGCCGACCCCAAATAAAACGGGACAAGGGCAGGAAGATGATGATGTTAGCTAATACCTAAACCTTATTTAAATTAATGTTGTATGCTATATATATTGTATGTTTAAGTGTGGGAGAGCCATACTTCGGCACGAATGGATCGGCTCGACCGGAGTGATACCACGGCCTCACAGAAAACCGGCGTAAAACAACCACAGCGTTGTGTTTCGCCGTCTGAGTGAGGTTACCAGAGGCCCAATCCTTCCCCTCCCCCAATCCCTAAATCTCTAAATTCGTAATCCCTAAAAGGTCGGCAACGCACTCGTAACTCCTCCGTTGCCAGTGTCCATGGGCGGCGGTGATTGCTTACCATCAGGTAATCCGTCTGCTCGTTTGCCGTCCTATTACATAAAAAAAGCTTTTTATACGACTTCTTGAGGGTAACCATGACATTCAAAGTAAGACTGTTTTAATCTTACTTCAGTGTGGGAGAGAGAAAGAGCTATACAAGTTGCTTAGCTCTGTCTCTTACCCACACTGAATTAAGATTAAAACAATCTTAGTTTAAACGTCATGGTCCCCTTTTAATATAAAAAGACATACCAAAATTGTTTGCTTTTAGTTAAGAATCTAAACGGTAGTTACGGTAAAGGAAACATCGTCACTTATAATTTCAAATTATGAGTTTGAAATCGGCAATCCGCCTTGAGCAAGCGTGGTGATTAATGCTCAAACCTTCTCCTTGTGAGAGGAGGCCTTTGCTCAGCAGTGCGGACTTTTTTAATGGGGTGATGATGTGAACTACCATACTGATGGACCATAAAAAGGCTTAACCTCCTGTCTACGAGACACAATAGAAAACACATTGTGTCTCGTGTATATCTGCGTTCCGGCATAACACGGGTTAAAGAAAATCCGTACCATTAATTTGACGACGAAAATCGAGTGGAACAATAAAATAATACTTACAACACTGGTGGTAAGCGAATTGAGCATATCGAAGGTGTTACTCTGCTGCGTATGGATGATCGCCAGCGCGTTATACGGCCTTGGACCAACTAGAGGCGCCTTCATAACACCCACTTCACTACCGACCACCACCTGATAACAAAAACACACAAAACCTTTAAAATAGGTTAAAACAGTAAAAAAGACAATTTAAAATTGAACTTTCTAATACCATGATTATGAAACGGTCGAGTAATTTTACTAGTGATCAATTCTTAAAACTAAATGGACGTTGCTTGATAAAAAAATAGTTATATTAGTACGATAGTTGTTATAACACTAAATAGTTCTGTCTGTATTGTTGCATATTTATATCGTCCTACATTTCAGTCTAAATCCTTTTCCGCAACAAACCACAGACAGGCAGCGGATAATAACATCGTGACGTCAAAAGACTATTGACCTAACGTATACAATGTTTATCTTAATACATTGTTTTCTGTGTAAAATTGTTAATTTCCCATTAAAATATACGCAAGTACATTTAAAGTAAAGCTTTGCATTGTACTTAGAACAAACAGACATGTTAAACTCGTCACAGAATGTTACATGTATGGAATTGTCAAGTTCAAGGTAGATATTACGTTGTTTGTTTTGTGTTTGACATTGCGCTTCTTTAGTTGGCGGCGAAGGCAAAAATAATGTGCAACTTAATAGCATGTATTGTGTGGATAAGAGAAATTATCTATATTATATATCTATATATATAAAAGAAAGTCGTGTTAGTTACTCCACTTATAACACAGGAACGGCTGAACCGATTTAGCGGAAATTTGGCAGGGAGGTAGTTTAGAGCCAGGAGAAGGACATAGGATAGGATAGAGTGTGTTAGGTAGAGTAGGGTAGGTAGTGTAGGGTACATAGAGTAGGGTAGATAGGGTAGGGAAGGTGAAGTAGGGTAGGTAGTCAAATGACGGGAGCGACGCCGCGGGTAAGAGCTAGTAACAAAATAAATGTAAAAAAAAATATTTAGACTACATTTTGCTTATACATATATAGTGCAGAGAGCGAATTATTTTTTTATGTTAACGGGATCGAAAAATTTCGCGTTTACCCTTGTGATTGGTTGGTCAACTTATATAGCAGGCAAATCAGGGTGCCTAATGCCATAAACTTTTCAATCGTGCTAACATAAAGCAAGGACGCTCTAGGCACTCAGGTCAACGAGACATGTATCTGAGTACGGTTGTTGCTATCATTATTGGAATTCTCAAAAACATAATATGATCCAACCTTGAAGGTCTTTTCTTTCCCGTGTATGGTCTTCTCCTTGGCTGGGAGTACGGTGGCAGAGTCTAGATGGTGTCCCGTCGGCTGGGAGATCTGGTGCCCGTGGCCGTGAAGCCCTGATGTCATCTGTAGATAAACGGATGAGAAAATGTTAAATTAATGTGTCATGGTAAATATGACGTGACGAGAAATGTAGCTTGAATAATTGAGCATACTGATGCTGATGCAAAAAATCTTCATAAATTTGGACTATTTCTTAAGCCATAACGATTATCAATATTGATCTTGTCGTTGCCAATAGCACCCAAGGAGTTGCCGGCTTTTTGTGGCTTAATAACTGATAACCCTAAGGTTATGAAACTGGGGATTGGGGATGGAAATGGGGCCGATAAGACCACTCACACAGCGAAACAAGCAAGCGTTGTTTCACGCCAATTTTCTGTAAGGCCGTTGTATCACTCACACGGAAGCATGTCTTACCCACGGATAAACATTGACATGCTAGCATAAACAGCATATGTCATAATCTATTCCAAAAGTAGTACTATGATTAACTAAAAATATTCCATTGATACGGTAGGAGCTAAATATGGCAACGTTTTTGTAGTATGACTCCCATATAGAATGCAAAATGTTTTCAAGTCTAGATTGTGGTTTGGTATGAACACCAATGAGACATGGCATTGACAGAAAATGAGTTGTATAAGGATTAAATAGTAAATCTGGATTTACAAATCCAAACTAATATTATAAATGCGAAAGTAACTCTGTATGTCTGTCTGTCTCCTCTCGCGCCTAAACTACTGAACTGATTTCTATGAAATTCGGTACAGACATAGTTTGGAACTTGAGAAAGGACATAAAACTTATACCAAAAATATGCAATAGGCAAAAGCTAGTTTGTAATAAACACAGCTATTTATAAATAAGACATGGATACGGAAAGAAGCTAAGGTATTGATTAATAATCAGACTAAGTTTTTGTTATTGCGGATGCAAGCGCAACAATCTTCTGCTGACCCTGAGCAGAAGGAACCGACAAAGCGGTTTCTAGTCAGTAAGAGTCTGAAACTTCCTCTCGCTTCACCCAAGCAGGAGCAGTGATTTAATAATCTCATCACATCATAACATACAGGATATCTACTACAAAAACTATAAACTACACTGCAAATTAGTTGAAGGTCTTAAATTAAGGTGTGAATAGTTTAAAAATGATCAAGTTTATAAGAAAGTGCTTCTGCCCGGTATCTTTTAAATATGAATGCCGCTTAGTCTAACTCTTACGACCACAGGAAGTTTGAGGTTAGTGAAAAATGTATTTTAATATGATGCACATAATTTGTTTAAATCCTATTTTCCGGAAAGGAAACACTAGTATTTAAATTTTTATCACGCCAACAATAATTTATAGGTTAATCCCGAATTAATTACGAAAAGTTTTATGCATGTATCAAATTTGTCAGAACTAATTATATCCATATGATAAGATACTATGTATTAGTAGCTGCAAAGCTTCCGAGAAATAGAATTCATGACATTTTGTTGTTTGTCGTTAATTTCGAATGAAAAGATATTGTAATAAGTTAAGGTATGTAAATCAAAGAAATGAACATATATTTTTGTAGTAAAGACTTACAACATGATAAAAAAGTTAAGTAAAAAAATAAAACAAACTCAAAAACTTACCAAATGAAACAAAATTTAAAAAAAGGAACTATAAATAAATACCACTCTCACTTAAAAATCAAAGACTAATTCACAAAAAAAAAAATGCACTAAAAAGGAGGTAAGTCTCCAAAAAGCGCGCGAAACACGGCTCCTGTCAATACGACCGTTTCAAAACAAACAACAATGAATGAATGAGTAATAAATAAATCATTCACGACTGTTATACTTTCGTCTAGCAATACCGAGACTCGCGGATAATACTGACAACATAATCAACACATTGGGAAGATGATAAGCTTCACTTATCGTGTGCACTGTGATGTAACAACATTCTTCATCTACGTAAAATCACTTTAAACAAAGGATAGCCTCTAAGAATAACTTTATGTTGTTAATCAGATGACAAATCGGTAAATGGAGATTTTGATCGTAGTAACAAGATATGAACATTATTATCCTACTAATATTATAAATTTGAAAGTTTGTGAGAATGTTTGTTATTCTTTTACACAAAAACGGCTAGACAGAGTTGGTTGAGGTTTGGTATGTAGATGATTGCCGCGACGATACGGCGCTGCATACCTTGGCGGAGTGCCCAGCTTGGGCCGAGCAGCGTCGTGACCTGGTCGCGGCCGTAGGTGCTGCGGGAAATCTCTCGCTTCCGGCTGTAGTGTCTACTATGGTCGGGAGCGAATCAGGGTGGAGTACCGTCGCTACCTTCTGCGAGGCCGTGATGCTCGCAAAGGAGGCGGCGGAAAGGGAGAGAGAGGCTGCCTCCTCTCTTCCCTCCCGCAGCAGACGCACAAGACGTCGTAGGGTGGCCGACCTGCGGCCACCGTAGGGCGCGGCCTGCGGACGACAGACTAGGGGCGTCTTGTCGTCCGACCAGCAGCAGGCCTCGAGGCGGCGGCGCCGTGTTCCGCGCGCGCCTCATAATTGAGTCCTGCGGTCGGGGTGACGGTCGCAGTGGGTGACGGGGCCCGCCTTACCATCTGGCGGGCCAACACCCGTCGGGGGGTTGCGACGAATGCTTCGGCGATACCCGCCCCTCCGACACATGGGTAAGTGGAGGAACACCGGGTTGGTTTTTAGTCAGTAAGAGTCTGACAGTACCCTTCGCCCTTCCCCGAGGGGATGGGTCTCCATGAGGATTTTCCAACCCGAAACCAAAAAAAAAAAAAAAAAAAGGTTTGGTATGTAGATAGGTGATATCCTGGATTAACACATGGGCTGCTTTTTATCAACATAAGACGCCGGCGAAGCTGCAGGCAGAAGCTAGTTATAATAATAGTAAATAGCAAATACTTTTTTATTTAGAAGTTGCATATGGTCCATTGGAATTATCACTGGATCTTGTAGTAGGGGGCCAAAAAATAATTTCGCTAGTTAAAGCACAAATAGAAAATCTAGCGGAACCATCATCGTACCGCCATTTAAATTACGAAAATGTGCGAGGAACTGCCGAACACACCAACACATAGAGCCTGCAGCGGACAAAAACGACAGGTCGGTTATAGTCTTCCTGTGCTATTAGATTAACATGATGGCCCGGAGGTAAAGGAGTCCGCTTCTCATGAATGAGGTTTCGGGTTCCAAACCTGTCTAATGTCTTAAGGGAAAGCCTTTTCTGATGGATTTTGCTGATAAGTGCTTGAAACATTAATTAATTAACATAAGAACCGTAGGCCGTATTCCTGGAACCATCTAAATATTACCATAACCTTCTTCAAATCCGAGTTCCGAGTAACTATCTTCAAAAACGAACACAGAAAAACAAACCAGAGTAAAGGTACATAGACGCATTCGTGCACGAGCGCACGCACGCGCATTGCACGAAAACACGGGTGCGCGAGCGCACTCAGCGTCTTACACCTGTCACCAGATTATCGAGAAAATACGATATCTATTGGAGTTAAGCGGATTAACTTAAATCCTCTTTTTACTCCTTTAATCTTTCCGAACGGCTGGAGATCAAACTGCAACGCACTCTTTATTTGGTTGCCAGACGTACGGAATTTTCCCGGAAGGTTCACGTATCGGAATAAAAGTATCACCTTTTTCCACAATTATGTTAAAAATACTGCGAGTAAAAAAGCTGTTTAACTTTGTTTAATTAAAAAAATAGCAAACGTAGCTGCACATTTAAAGAACAAACCAGTCTTAAGATGATTTTTGGTTTCATAAGCGTCTTTGATATATCAAAATACCTAATGTTGATTTTCTATCAAAATTCTATAAATATTCCAAAAACATCATTCGAAAAATATTTAGATAAACTTTAAATAAACAACTTACAAAAGTCTTTGAAGGTTTATGGAAGTTAAGGATTTAAAGAGAAAAGTATTTAGCCAATAGGTCTAGATAGCTGTCCAGGAAATAAATGATAGGCTCTATTATTGACCCTAACTGGTGGTGATGTCGTCTTGCAGATGAGCTTAGGCTTCGGTATCAAGTGGACTGTACTTACATCTTGGTTCCATTAAAAAATATTATTGTGTCCTGTTATAAAACCGATCCGCAATACGACGTAGTATAATAATATAGTTTTTAGAGCTGACTAAATATACTCGAACGACTTTAAAGGAAAAAGCTCAAGACGGATTGGTGACTTCAAACTTATACTTTGAAATTATAAGTCCAGATTTCCTCACGATGTTTCCACCCTATGGCAGTGGTGTCTAAAAAACCATAGAAAGTACATACACCTCTGAAAAACCCACATTTTTGCTTGCCAGGTTTCGAACCCTCATGCATGAGAAGCAGACGCCTTAATCTTCTTGCCACCACGACAAGTAAAGAACCACGCATACATAAAATACAACCTAACACCGAAAAATGTACCCTCAACTTTAGAAATTCACTTTCATCACATTTTTACTGACGAAAAAATTTTTCTTTTCACATTGAACACAAAAACACTCCCTAAACAAAAAATATCTGGTAAGTAAATATACAGCGTGTTCATCAACCAAAATAGTAACAAGTAAATTAATACTAAAAAAACTTTTTACTGAAAGCATCAGGTATACAAAACATATTCTAGAAAGAAGAAGAAAAAAAGAAAATCCGTAAAAATGTATAATGGATTAATAAAATAAATTAACAAAGTACAGAAAATTAGATGGAAAGTAAAATTCTTACGGAAGCGTGATGTTTTTGTAATACAACCGCCATTGCCAATGGTCAAACGATCTCTAAGCTGCGAAAAAACGAGATTGGGTCTTATAAGTGTTTATAAGATAAATATGCAAATACGTATTGGGTATTGGATGTTGGATATCGGGACGGCCATGTTATTGTAATATTTTAAAGGACAAACATACCATATTATTTATAAGTACATAGTATAAAACAAAGTTGCTTTCTCTGTCCCTATGACCCTGTGTATGTATCCTTAAAACTAAGCAAAAAACCTTTAAAACTATGCAACAGATTTTTAAAATATGTTTATTTTAATA